GAAAACCCGCATTGTGAAATATACAGTGGATCCGCGCACTCTCGAGTCGCACATCTCGGTCATGTCGCGCCCCTGGGTACTGAACCAACTTCCGACCTCTCTGTCACGGCCCCCGCTTCTGGTTTCAGCCTTGATTGGGGAAGCACCCAATCATACACCCCAAAAGCAGAGCACGGCCTCAAACTCAAGCCTGGAACTTGCCACAAGTCGATGTACTACTCGCAAAATCAAGCCACCGGGCCTCAGACTAGCCCCAAGTTAAATATTTCGCACTTGACGCCCTCCACCACAACACAGCACCGTACCTGCGATCGACACACATCGAGGGTCTGCATGCGCAGTGTTGGTCATGCGCGAACGAGCATATTCAACTATTTCTTGACGGCTTGAGGGATCATCGTTCCCCGCTCTGGAGTCGCACGAGGAGCATCCAATCAGTCGGTATTCCCGGCGAACGTCATTGGGATGGGATCGAGGGTGTCTACCGCCAAAGTCGGCCTCGCGTTGTGGTGAGTTCCTTCGATAGTCCCCTACCACTGTCTTGTTAAATCACCTGAGTCTCGCGTATCACATTCCCAGTATGAGGCCTCCCGCGCCTCGAACATCAAATCGAATCCTGCATGCAGCTCACCATAGTTCGGGATCGAGGAGTATGCTGACGCCACAGTGTCAGGGAGGCTCGTCGCGTCGAAGTTGATGCATTCGCAATGCAATTATATCTCCAGTTTTGGCGTGATATCGAGTAAGTTCTTTGCCGCATTTCCCAATGCAACGATTTTGGTCTTCCTGACAGAAAATCAAATCCAGGGCTCTGTATCATCTCGTGTACTCACTCCATCTCCTCGCATTCAGTATCAAAACACACTCCCCGCACAACAGTGACTGCAGTTGATCTCCTCGATACAGCATCGCGAACCTTTCCGCCACGATCAGACAAGCCGGGCTTGCGGAATATTGTGGTTAAGTCGCGTCACGGCCCCGTACGCCGCGTGTGCGAGATAATCACGCATTACCTGCAGTACACTCACAAAATTCTTAGCCCACACACCTCCAGTACATCATCGCTGCAGCCAACATGGGTGCAATGGTCTCCGAGGCGAAACGAATTCCGCCATTATCCGTCAAGTGGCTATCTCAGTCTTGGTCCCTAAATTTACGCCATAAATTTACGCCAATTCATAAACCTGGAAGTGGCATGACGGTTCAGAACCGGAGTATAGAAGTTCCTCGAGTTGAGGAGGATTCGTCGTCTAAATTTCCTTTAGCTTCATCTTCGTCTGGTGATCGTCTCATCCCGGCTGAGTTTGCCAAGGAAGACGACACGAACCACCATATCGATTTCATAACTGCGGCTTCCAATCGTCACAACGAAGAAACAAGCTAAGAAAATGACCCCTGTAATCGTTACCGTTGTGGCTGGCCTGGCATGCCTGGAGCTCTACAAGGTTGGTCTTGTCTGTGCTAGTCTGGCTCGAGTACTCATCATACTTGATTTTAGATTATCGATGGGAAGAAAGAACTTGAAGACTACAAGGATGGATTCGCTAATCTCGCCCTTCCGTTCTTTGGCTTCTCGGAGCCCAAAGCTGCCCCAAGATTAAGCCTGGTACAACAAGGTGGACTCTTCGGGATCGCTTTGAATTCACCAACGACCCGACACTTGAGGATATCGTCTCGTGGTTCCAATCAAACCATAAACTGAAGTTGCAATGGTTAGTCACGGCGTTAGCGTTCTGTAGAGCACCCTTACTTATGGGAAAGAAGAAAGTATGTGTCTAATTTTGTTCCTGTTCCTGACAGTGCAATAAAAGAGCAAGGAGAGGCTTCCTACGAAGTTCCGTAACCTTCTCGAGTTCGCTGAGAAGGTCGTCTCTCCCCATGTTAAACACCTCATCGTGGAGGGCATGGGATGAAAATGGTGAAGATGTGAAGGTACGGTAAATTGTCTGTTGACTGCCTGTAGGTTCCATTCCTTGTTGTGAAGATCTCGTCCATAGTTGTGCAAATCCCTTGATCGAAACGCGTACACTTCTGCAGCAACGTTTATGGCTTCTTTATCTTGTCCTCATGCGCCCAGTTTAATTCTGAAGATTGGTAAATTAAGAGTGAAAGGTGTGGTGAGTGGTGAGACGAAGAACTTGTACAAGCATCGGCTTTCACCATAAGCTCGATTAGATTAGATCTAATCTGAGTATTCCACGTGATATCCCGGCGGTAAAGCGTGATGTGACTGTCACGACGTGAAATGGATTGACGGCGGACGCAGCAAGTGTGGTGCTCCTTGCCAACCCTACGCCGAACTCGACCATGGAAGCAGCTTCCACCCCTGTCTCTGCAGATTTCTCCTCGTCGCCACCAAAGAGGACCAAAATCGTCCTTCTAGGCGACCAGAGTGTCGGTAAAACCAGTCTGATCACTAGGTGTGCTCCACGTCGTCCAATTCGCGAGCTGTTATGCTTACAACCGACTTTACAGATTCATGTACGATACTTTTGACAACACATATCAGGCTACAATTGGTATCGACTTCCTGAGCAAGACCATGTATCTTGAGGACCGGACCGTAAGATTACAGCTATGGGACACTGCTGGACAGGTATTATGCTGTACTTCAATAATTGCAACTACTTGCTGAATTTACGGTACAGGAAAGGTTCCGTTCACTAATTCCCTCTTATATTCGCGACTCTTCTGTCGCTATCGTCGTTTTCGATATCACAAGTACGTTGAAACAGTGGTCGTATGCAGCCCACTCACTTAACCGAGCTCCACCTGTCTAGATCGGCCATCATTCCTCTCTACAACGAAATGGATAGACGACGTCAGGTCAGAACGGGGGAACGATGTGATAATAGTGCTAGTAGGCAACAAGGCTGATCTATCGGACAAACGGTGCGCAGCGTTTGCACACTGCATATGGACTACGACTCACCTTACGCCTATCTTGACAGACAAGTGACGCTAGAGGAGGCAACCGCCAAATCAACACAAATGAATATTATGTTCATGGAGACTTCTGCGAAAGCCGGGCATAATGTCAAGAGCTTGTTCAAGAAGATTGCCATGTCATTACCTGGTATGGAGAAGGAAACTCAGGGTGAAGCAAATACAAGTACGCCCCTGACCTATCATCAATAAACTCAACCTGACCTGCGTCATTGAACAGAAATCGATGTTACAACGCCTGCAACAGGCGAAACCCCTGAAGCATCTCAATGCAATTGTTGAGTGTCCCCCCATCTGTGCTGACGCGAGCATCTGTTATGTCAACTACATATATATCAGCCGTTACCGAGTCTCGGTTCTTTCTTGGCTCTGGATTGTGATTTTAGTGTACAGAATACTATTCCGGCAAATTGCATCAATACTCGAAAGCGCACACAGCTACCTCGGACGGACTGTCAAAAATTAGTACTACTACTCATCCAGACCAGCTATTCAAAGTATCGGCCATTTGTGACTTATCCTCGGTTCATCGTGTTTCCTGCACCTTTGGGATTCTCATCCGTATATCTTGCCCAGTTTTCGTCCTTTAACCGCTTTGCCTCCGACTTCTCCTCGCCTTCCAAGGTGCCATCCATCTCTGCATCGAGTGTTAGCTGCTCAGAGGAGGTCGGGGCTGCTTCTGACGCAGGTCTGGGGAAACAAAATATCAGAAATGATTAAGCAGGTATTAAACAAACCGATGCACCCGCCGCCCGAGATGAATTTGCCTCGCTCCTGCTCGATTTGGAGGTATTCGTCAATGGACATAGTGGGAAGCTGATGGCCGGGGCCAAACACTTGTGACTGAAGGCGTGCACGGTTGGGAGCGTTGGATGGCAGGATTGTAAATGGCCGGAGGGGCTGAACCTGCTGTGAGCGATTGACAGGATGCGGGGAGTCCGAAGAACGTTACCTTTCCAGACGGATCCAACAGCGGTCCCTTGCCGTCAGGCCCTAAGCTTGACCGTGGCGCATCGAGTTTCCACATATCGTTGTCGCTCTCGCGGCCCTTGCCCCGACGATCATCTACCCCTTGGCGCGCGTTTTGAGGCGGAGAGGGCGGCGCGTTCAAAAGCAGTTCGAGTTCCTGATCCATGCTCTCTAGTTGAGAGTGAGATTGCGCGTATTTCAATCGCAGAAGGAGCAGGGTCGCCTCGCGGAGGATGTCGTCCGTCTCAGAGTCGATCTCATCGTCACCGTCTGCTGAAGACTTTGTGGGCGACTTTGAAGGAAGCAGTGAAGATATGAGATCGAAGTCCATAGGGTTACTGTCCAAGAGAGGGTTCTGTCCTCTCTGTTTGCGTACGGCCTTAGGACGATAATTAGTAATAGACTCAACAGTATGGCCGCAACACCAAGACCTCAATCCGCGCCCTCAGGTCCTTCTCCTTCTGGTATTGTTTGATCTTGAGCTCGCGTCGTCTGGTAGGATCCGCAATGGAAGATGCTCGACGATCGTGGAGAGCGCGTTCCTCTTGAGGCACAATCTCGTAATTATCCAAGTATGATAGGAAGCTCTTCAGATCTTTCTATAGCACTAGGTCAACAAAGAAGCATGCTGAAGTACCCTGGGCCGCACCTGTGTTTGCCTAAGCACCACAATCCTTTCTTCGCGGTCTGTGGTCCTGACGCGTCCTCGGACCTCTGAGAAGACATATGGGACAAGAAGATAGACTAGATCCGCGGTGGAAATGTCCTCGAGAATTTCATTTGGGCTGAATAGGGATAATCCTGTGATTCGTGAGCTGAGAGCTGTTAGGTCCTTCAAGCTGGACTGTATGAATTCCTGCACAAGCAAATCAATTCAATCGGTGCTCCAAATCATCCTAAATCCATAAATACCTGGGTAGAGTCATCGAATGTAGGAAGATTCGATGCCCTGGACGCGTTGGAAAGACTCCGAGAAAAAAGTATTGGAAGGGGAACAGACATGCGTGTGGCTCAACGATGATCAAACCGAGTCTTCGGAATGATGATTCATGAGTTGTGGCTAAAAGCAATAGACATCATGAAAACGACACCAGCAGGATTTGAACCTGCGCCCTCAAAGAGGAACAGATACTACTTTGTTCGAATCTGTCGCCGTAACCACTTGGCTATAGTGCCTTACCAAAGTACAGGCGGCCAAAGATACCAGTCTTAGTTTAATCGATTGGGCTGAGTATGAGGCCCAGTGAAAATCGCATCGAATCAAATCGAGTAAGAGCAAATTAAATCAAGGTACATCAGATCAGATCGTTTCGCCC